GCCCTTCTTCTCCTTCAACCTTGCACCCGCCGGAGCTTCGCCGGAGGTCCTCCTTGCTGCTGGTCTGGTCGAATGAAGGGGAGAGGAAGAGAGAGTGAGAGTGCTTCTTGGGAGTTACAAAGTGGAAAGACGAATGAAGGGAGAGATGGGGTTTTTAATTGTAGAGAAATGATTATGAAATAATGGTGATGGTAATGAAAGGGTTAAGGGTGGCGCATGGAAGTAATGGGGGGTTACAAACTTTATTCTACTCCGTTATGTAAAATCTAACCTGAACGGTACGCGTTTTTTTCCCTGAACGGGTCCGAATTGAGATCCGTTTGCGTTTCTCGAATCAGACAGTCAAAACAAATTTAATGATATGATCAAATAATTTTTCTAAGAACTTTTGAATTTCCCAACTCCGATCCGGAACAGTAATTAATTAATTAAATTAATCAATTCTATTAGACCGGGTTGCAGGGCGTTACACCTTCAATGGTGACACTGCTGATGCCGATAGATTCTTGGATATCATCGGCTTTGGAGCGCCATTCCGATGTGAGACTTCGCAGGATTTTTCGTACAAGCTCCTTGTCCGTGTATGTCTTCTTGAGAGCATGAAGATCATTTACGATTTTTGAGAATCGTTGAAACATATCGTCAATTTTCTCGTTCCCCTTCATATGAAATAGTTCATACTCATGGGTTAGAAAATCTATCTTAGCTTCTCGGACTTGATCCGTACCTTCATATGTGATTTCTAGCTTGTCCCACATTTCCTTAGCGGCGGAACAACAAGAGATCTTCTGGTAGTCATCTGGGTTTACTGCACAATAAAGAATGTTGATAGCCTTGGCGTTATTCTCTATTTTCTTGATATCCTGCGCATCGTATTTGTCTTCGGTTTTGGGAACGGTGGTTTCCCCAACTTTCTTCATGGGCACTTCTTCCCCATTCATGATAATTCTCCATAGGAGAAAGTTGTTGGATTGGATGAAAATTCTCATTGGCTCCTTCCAATATGTGTAATTCATTCCATCAAATAATGGAGGCCTCGTGGTGGATTGCCCTTCTCCTAAACCTGCGTATAAGTTTTGAGTAGAAGCCATTGATCGTTTCTCTCAAACGGTTAAGTCTTTCAGAGAGTAAGGCTCTGATACCAATTGTTATAATAAAGGCCCAACGCTAGAGGGGGGGTGAATAGCGTTTGAAACAAAATCGCAGGAAATTAAAACGAGAGCGTTAAAGTAAAG